TTTGCAAAGTGCATGATAAGTGGTTGATGTAAAACTCAGCTGAGGACTTGAACAGACATTTCTCCAAAGAACACACACTAATGGCCAAAAAGTACATAAAAGATGTTCAGCATCATTACTCATCATGAAAATTCAAATCAAAACCACATGAAATCACTTCACGCATGTTAAAATGGCTATTGTCAAAAAGACAAGAGTTAAGAAGTGTCAGCAAGGATTTGGAGAAAAGGGAACTCCTGTGCACCCTTGAGGGGAATGTAAATGACTTTAGCCACTACGGAATACAATACTGAGGTTCCTCAAAGAATTAAAAATAATATTACCAAATGACCCACAGTCCCACTTCTGGGTACATGTCCAAAAGAAATGAAACCACTATCTTGAAGAGATATCTGCACTCTCATGTTCCTTTCATCATTATTCACAATAGCCAGCAAATGGAAACAACCTAAGTATCCACTGATAAGTGAATGGATAAAGAAAATGTGGTATATATATATATATACACACACAGAATGGAATGTTATTTGACACAAAAAAGAAGGAAATCCTGTTTTTGTGACAACATAGATGGACTTTAAGGGCATTATGCTAGCTGAAATAAGTGAGATAGAGAAACATAAACACTGTATATTCTCACTAATATGTGGAATCTAAAAAAGCTGAACTCAAAGAAACAGAGACTAGAATATATGTTGCCAGGGACTGAAAGTGGGGCATCTGGGGAGATGTTGGTTGGTCTAAGGGTACAAATGTCCAGGTATGAGATGAATAAATGCTGGGGATCTAATGTACAGCATGGTGACTATAGCTAACAATGCAGTATTATGTATTTGAAAGTTGTTAAGAGGGTAGATTTTGATTGTTATCACTCAAAAGAAAACTGGGAATTACATGAAGGGATGGAGGTGTTAACAAATCTTCTGTGGTAATCATTTCACAATATTTATGCATTTCAACTCTTCACATTGTACAACTTGAGCATATATATGCCATATGAAATTAATACCTCAAAAATTTGGGTGGGAAATACTATTAAGTAACCAATGGGTTAAAGAAGGAAACAATAGGAAAATTAGAAAGTACTTTGACATGAACATTTTGAGAAAATCAGAAAATACTTTGAGATAAATTCCTATTTGGGTAAAGAACACAGAATCTCTTGTATAGAGTCTCAAAATTTGTATCAAGGTCACACATGTTTCTACACATACTAAAAATACAATACATGGGGAGCCTCTCCAAGACTATCCTTGTCCTCTTCAGATTTTCAGGTATTATTGATCATGCCAAGGCACTAATCAATTCTCAAAATGTACGATGGTGACCTTTTTCAATAAGACCTTCAGTGAAATTTGCAACTCTCTCACCAGCCCTAGGGAGCAGGTCCCATAAAATGTCAAAATAACTTCAACAGGTTCAAATTGAAATAAATGAAACATAGCACAATATGGTCATCAAATATGAAGGGAACCCTCATTCCAGCCCCAACCCTAACCACTTCAAAAATCCCAAGCCACTCTCCTTTCTCTACTCTCAATATATTCTGGAACCAGCTAGGAAGTTGCCTTATTCTCCCCAGGAAGCTCCAATATAATATTAATAAACCTTTTAGAGCCTCTTGGTGTGTATTTGATGCCAGAACCTAACTAAAGAGGGGGATCATTTTTATCACAGAATGACTAAAACAGTTTAGGTAGAATTAATACTAATTTTACCCAAACTCTCTCAGAAACTTGAGGACAGAACACTTCTCAATTCACTCTCTGAGGCAAACATTGCCCTGATAGCAATGACAGAAGAAGCATTCAGACAAAATCCCAGAATAGTGTTCTACGTGAACACACATGTACAGTCTTAAACTGAAATTTAAGCAACCTGAATCTAAATATAAATTAACAGAAAATATGTCTTGACCAAATGGAGCTTATTCTCCCAGAAAAAAAGGTTAGTTTTGACATTTGAAAATCAATCAGTGATAGTCAACATATTCAGAAAACAAGCAAAAAATAATATATTCATACTAATGAATGTAACAAAAGTATGGAATTAGAGCTCATCAAAATTAAAAGTTGTGCTCTTCAAAAGATACTGCTAAGAGAATGAAAAGATAAGTCATGGACTGATAAGGAATATTTGCAAAGCTTATATCTGATAAAATAGTTATATCCAAAATATATATCAAGAACTCTGAAAACTCAATAAAAAGAAAACAAATATCCCTATTTAAAAATGGAATTTGCCAGCTACAAATCTGACAAACACTTCATCAATGAGGAATTTTGCACACATGTGCATGAAAAATGCTTGAAGGAAATCAGTTATGATGTAATGTAAATAAAAACCATAATGAATTACAACTAACAATCTGCACATGAATGGCTAAAATTAAAAAGACCAACTCTACCAACTGCTCAGAAGGAAGTAGTAGAGCTGGTTCTTGCATTCACTTCTGGTTAGAATGTAAAATGTTACAGCCACTTTGGAAATTTGACTATTTCCTAAAAAATTAAACATACACTTAACATATGGTTCAGCTACTGCCCTCCTGGCAATTAATCCAGAGAAAAGACAGTACATGCTCATATAAAAACATGTATAAAAATATGCACAGCAGGTTTATTTATGGTAGCTCAAAACTGTAAACTACCATAATATCCATCAACAGTCAACTAAACAAACACATTCTAGTAATCCATACAATAGAACACTTTTATTAGCAATAAAAGAAAATGAAGTATTCATACACGCACTATGAATTTTTCTCAAAATATTTATGCTGAAAAAAATAAACAAAAATCTAAGGGTTCATAATTATGATCCCATTAATATCAAATCTAGAAGATGCATTCCATATAATGACATACTAGTGATTGACTAACAATAGGAATTGGAAGGTGGGAAGCACAGAAGGGAGATGGCCAAAGAACATGAGAAATCTTCTGGGGGTGAAAATAAATTTGTTATCTTGATTATGTTGATGGTTTCGTATATATATAAAAGTAAAGTCATCAAATTACATATTTTAAATGTGTAGTTTATTATTGCCAATATTACTTCAACACAATGCTTGAAATAATGAAGACAATGAATTTCAATCTGTGGCCCCAAACTAGCAACAGGACCTTCCTACTATGAACTACTTTAAAAAAATGTTTTTTAGAAACATCAGATATATAGTAAATACATGGTAAAATGTTTTTCAGATGTTGGAAACCAGGCCGTTCATGACATTGATGGCTGATCGGGAAAATCTCCAGGACACGGCTCATGGAGCAGGTGTCCAAATCTGGCCTGGCCGTCTTCCCAAGTGCAGGAGACTGAGTTCAGGTTTTGGGGAGGTCATAGAAGCTCGAACTCCAAAGGCAGAATTCCAGAACACCAAAGACATCTGCATAGGCAAAAGCTCTGGAGTTTGGATCTTCCTGGGAGCAGTTCTACACATACATGTGAGGATATCACCCAGGTCTTGGAATGGCCACCATAAATGATGAGGTAAAACAAAACCCACATGGTATACAGGGCCTCTTTCCAAGCCGCTGCTCAGCCTTGACATATAATAAAGCCTAAAAATAAGGTCCCCAAGCAGCTTGATGAAGGTGACATTTTGATCGTCATCAGTCTAACCCCTATAACTTTCTCTCAATTGGTTGGAAAATTCAGAGGGAAAGGTGGTGGTATCTTACTAAGCTCTATAAGTCCCAAACAGTAAGAAGCTGACCTCACCTGATGACAACAGACTGAAACACTGTATGTTTCCCTCCCAAGGCCCAGTGAGCACCACTTGATAGGTAAAGGGAGGAGCCCAGGAGTCCAATCCAAAACCTGAATTCCAAGACAGAACCTCCTTACTAGCTGCTGATCTTCTGTCCTACCTACGCACCCAAAGAAAGCTGACTTAACTGGCTGAAGGAGATAAGAACTGTCTAGTCAGAACTCTATGCAAGTCCACTCCTTAAAAGAAAAACTAATATTCCATTCAAAACCTCAATTATTTCCATTGGTAGGTGAATATTGAAAGAACATTAAAACCTGGACTATTAAAACTTGGGCCCAAGGATAAACCTAAGGGGACCGTGAATCCGGTGAATTGTTTGGATTCTGTAGAACCGGTAGAAAGACAAAAGCTGTCGATAGTTCCTCAAAGCCAAAGAACCCACTGAAATGAAATGATCATGTGCTTCAACTACCCTGACTGACAGTCAAGGCAGATACATAGTGGTATGTATAGAACGATATTCAGTGAACAATACGGGACCCAATCTAGGTGATCAAAATTATTGTAAAACATTCTGAACAATGACAAAACCTGAAGTTCATTTTCAGAATTCTATAATTGTTGAGACTATTTTTCATCATAGTTGATTAATTTTGGAATATTTTAAAGAATCATAGCTCCAGCTAGTCTGAATAAGAAACCCAGAGTTTAAAGTCCCAGATACACTCAACTCTACTGTTAACCTGCCACGTGAACCTGAACAAATCACTTCACTTTTCTGGGCCTCTGTGTCCTAGACTGAGGAAGTTCTTTGGAACTAAAATTCAGTGGATTCAGTGATCCAAGAACTTTTGACAACCTGAGGAAGCTTTCTTAAATTTCAGGTCTCATAACAGGAGTAGAAAGTAACCTATGATAAAGGAGGAGCAGCTGTAATTACATAATAGAAGCCTTAAATATGGCTGAATACTTCTGTTCAATACAAATTTAAACCACAAAACAGACTAGCAATTATCAAAAATGTCAATAATAATTTTAAGAGGCTAGCCTAAAATGAAACTACCCAGACAAAGATAAGATAGGGTAATATGGCATGTGGAGGCCAAGTCTACTGAACCTTATAAGATATCCGGGATTTAACATAATCACACATTCACACATGCACATTTTTTCATTTCTTCAACAACTCGATTCAAAAAGATTTTGTGCTAAGCATAATATAAATAAGGCATTGCCTTTCTTAGTCTGGTATAGAAGAACTCAAAAATTATAAAAATCATACTTAGGTTCATAAACTGTCTTCCAAAATGAAGCATGGTGACATTATGGCCATGATCTTGAAGGATCTGAGACACCCGGTCTAACAGCAGATAATGGCTTCCACCTAGGAACAATACACAGTTTCACTTTTGTAAAGATGAGAATAGAGGGTCTGAAAGTGCTGTGAGGTGGCAGGAGGGATATCTGGGTAAGCCAACAGAAAATTGATAGAGAAGAAAGGAAGATGAGTTTCTTCAGTCCCTCTTTCTCACTCTGCGTAACCTAAGCCCAGATGCCTGCCCCTGTCTGCCCGGAACCTTGGCCTCTGCCGGTCCTCCACAAGAGGACACTTTGTCTCCTTTACTGACAGAGACACCCTTTTGGTCTCCCTTGACTCTGTCTCTCCATCAGTGTGAGGAGCTTCTCTGGGCTTAGGTTTTGGGAGTTCCTGACCCTGAGGCACAAGCTTCACGTTAGTCGGGCTCATGGAGACATCACGTCCTAAAGAAATGAGAGCGCTGCTGGCCATTGTGGCACAGTGCTAAGGGTCCGAACAGACAATCAAACAGAGCTATTTCTGGGATGCTCCTCTTTGGAAATTTATTATAGTGTAGGAGGCAGAAATATGGGGGCTTGAATTTGAGTCCAAGAAACAGCTGTTGGAGGGAAAGCATGTGGAGCCACCACTTAGAGCCAGTTGGGGACTGTATTTTGCACATCAATTAAGACATTCAGGATGACTGTGGGGCCAAAGGGCCCAGTCTGCAGGATCCTATGTGCGTGGGACACTGGAGCATCCCCCAGAGGGGGACCACTCTTGGACTCTAAGGAAAGAGAAGCTGAATCCTCCAGACAGGTCCAAGACCCATCACACCACGTCTGCCTAAAACTCTGTGCCATCCATCCTGGGCCGTCTCTCTTGAATCTATGGGTCTCAGCAGCAGGAAAACCCAGACCAGAGGGAAGGCATAGATTTTGCCAAAGATGGGAAGTGGAGGGTGTTTGGGAGAGGATGGCCCATGTGACTGGGTCAGCAGAGAGGAGGATAGCACTACAGAGATAGTGTGCATGTCTGGCAATTACTCGACTTCTTCCTATCACACTTGTGTTGCCTGAGGGAACACCACTGACAAAAATCTCAACTCCCTTACCGCTCGGCCTGCCGCCTGCTCTTGCTCACATTTAACTTGTGGAGGAAATGGGTGCAGGTGGAAGGGGTCCCTACAGACATGGCCAGTCATGTGGGTCTCGGTGAGCTAGAGCCCTTAAGGGGCAGAGGCCAGGTTTGCAGCACCTCCCAAAGCGCCATCAGCTCCCTGCAGAGTCGGAAGCAGGGGAGCAGGTACTTTTCAGAGGGGCAGACGGTTCTGTTCTCCATTGTCTCTATCACAAAATTTGAAGAAAGGAAAAAAGGCTGAAAAATGTGGCAAGGGATTTTTAAATGCTGATTCTTAGAAATCCCCACTGTAACGAGTGACAGAGTGGAATCTGTGGAAGAGGATGGTTTTGACTAAGAAATCCTGAGTAAACTGCCCGGGTGCCTTTCCGGAGATGCATGGGGCTCTTGCACAGGGCACCTCATTTCCCTAACCTCATGTTCCCTCTCAGGAAATGCACGGACTGAGGGGACCCACAAGGCTTCAGGATGGGCTGAATGAGGGAACCCAGAAGGCTTCAGGATGGGTTGAATAAATCTTGGGGAAACTCCATCCTATACTGACTCCTTATCCTGATTAAGATTTCGGGTTCATCCTCTGTTCCCGTTTGGGCAAAAGGAAAGAAAGTAAAACTACGTCCACAATATGCAGAATTAACTGCTTCACTGTCTGTCAGAACTTCTAGCAGGACAGGTGAGAGAGAGAGAGACCCTCAGCCCAAGGACTCCCTTGCCCCAGGTACCTTCCTCTGCTTGGGATCCCCAGGTTTCACAGTCATGAAGCATCCCAATTTGCACCACTGCCCCCAGGAGCACCCGTTCTCGGCCTCCAAGGGCCTGAAATGGATTCCGCCTCCCACTTGCTACTGGTACCACCGCGCCCAGCTAAAGTTAGGGGTGAGCCTCCAGCGCCCTGGAGCAGGCGGCCCGCGGTCTCCAGCTCAGCCATGGATCACAACTACTGGCCCCAGATGCGCACAATGGGACGCGCGTCCAGACCGATTTTTAGGAGTGGACCGGAAACCAGTGATTCTCCAGAACTCACTTCTCCGGGAGGTGGAGCCCCCTCCCGGCGCCACAGACCCCGCCGCCTCTCCCTCCTCCAGCCTGAGACACAAGCCCGGTCTGGGAAACCGCAGGCGCTGGCGCGCTGTGCAAGGGCTGCTGGCCGGAGCTCTGGCACCGGTGCCCAGGATGCGCCTGTCTCGGGATACTTGGCAGGGCACTCACCCAGTGAGGACACGGTCAGGATTTTGCCGGCCTCTGAGGGCAGGAGCCCGAGCACGAGGAAGCCCAGGAGAAACAGCGCCCGCGGCCGAGCCATGTTCGCCCCCGCGCAGCTGGAGCCCAGTCCCGGGCTGCGCGCCCCGCACCCTGAGCCCCTCAAAGGTCCTGAGCCCAGGCGGACACGCGCGCAGCCAGGCAAGGTTTGGCGCTGGAAGTTGATCCCGCCTATCTTTACCTTTTGTCCCCTCTCTCCCTCTGCCCCTCCTCCCTGGGTGTGTGCTCCTTTGGAAATTCTGTCCTCACCCCCCCTACCAAGGGCAGTGGGAAGAACTTGGTGAGCTGATCCTTAACCCGTCCGGGTCCTTGTAATCACTACACTTTCCTCATTGAAAATACTGTGAGCCGGGAGTGGTGGGTAGAGAATTAAGGAAATCACGTCAAAGAAAGGTCACCTTCAAGTGACTGGGAACCATGTCCCTTCAGGAATCCGACCCGAAGTTACGGGACCCCATCACCTTTCTGACAGCTCTAATCATTTCAAACAGCCTTCCCCATTCCCGATTCCCCATGTACCTGCTTAAAAATCTCTTGTAGTGTTCAAGGTCCCAGGAGAAGACTCACTCCCAAAAGAAAAATGACCTACACTTACTGCTCAGAGTTTCTTTGAAAGAAACTTATTCATGAAAGGTGATACAGGTGCTTAGTATTAACCACCTGGTGAAGTCCAGGTGTTTACATGGAGAACTGAATTTGCAAAGCTGCACCTATAATTCTGCATGAGAATCATAAAATCGGAAGGGTGGTGGGCACCCCGTTCTACTTCTGTAAGTGTTTGAAAGTGATCATTAGGAAGTTTTTTAAATTCTCCCAATCTTATTCTATTTTTTCTTGTACATCCATCTATTTTTGTGCTATACTTATGTCATCACGTGACTACATATATACATGTTGACGATTAAAATCTTCAAATATTTTACTTCCCAGTGAAAAAAATCATCTGTGCATCACAAAGGTGCCATTAAGCATTAACGTAATCACATCACCTTATCTGCACACCTTATCAAATTCCACCCATTCTCCCAATGCCCTACATAGTAATATGAATGTTCTGGCGCAGGAGCAAATCCAGGATCACACATTATGTTAAGTATCATGTCTATTACATCTCCCTTAGTAACGATTGGCTTCTCAGACTTCATTTTCTTTCATGTCTTTGGCATTTTAAAGAGCACAAACCATTAATTTTGTAAAATGGCTTTCGATTTGGGTTTGTCTAATGCTTTCTTATTATACTTCAGTTTAAGGTTTTTTTCAGGAATAATGCAAAGCTGACTTTGGCTCCATCTCAGACAGGAAGCACATGATGCCAGATGCCCCCGTTATCGGTGAAGATAACTTTGATCTCTTGTGTAAAGTGGTGTCTACCAAGACTCTCAATTGAAAAGTTATTAGTTTTTATACTCTAGTGAAGAAACAAGTTGTAGGGAGACATTTTCAAAATGTAAATATTCTGTTCCTCATCAAATTCTACTCATATTATCATCTTTTACATTTCTTCCTGAATCAATGATTACTGCCATGGTGGCAGATTAATGAATTTTTAACTCCATTTTCCTCCTTCATATCTCATGTGGTTTCTGTTTAATTGCTAACCTATCTATTGCCCTTTCCTACTTATGTATTTCTATTTATTTGTTATCAGTTTTTCCACCTGGAACCATATTTATTCAATGGGATATAATCTCTCACTACCATTATTCACTAGCTTGGTCCTGTGGCTTGCCCCGCTCCCATCATTTTGGAACTTTTCCTTTATTTCTTGCACATGATTTCCAGACTCATCTTGTACTTTTCTTTGTCCCTGTCTTAAAAGCATCCATATCTTAAGGAACCCTTTAGTAGGGAATGTTTGGAAACCTGGATGTCATTGGGGGAAATGCTCATTGCTAATGAAGTGCCACTGTTTATAATCCCTTTTCGATGGACATTCACGAAAGTACAGATGCAGACATGGGTATAAATATCACATACCTGTATCTCTCCTCATAGCTATGTTTATATTTAGTTTATAACAAATAATGAATTCGTACTGATATGAATGAATTCTAGTACAACACCACAGAGCTGTTGCTAACTTTCCCATTTCCACATTTGTAAACCCTTTCCAAAATTAAGAATCTAACTCTCAGCATCTTTGGTATTTTTACTCACTTGCTCAATCATACCATGCACTGAAAGAAGGTTCTTGTATACTGATCCACCAACTGTGAAAAAGAAACCTGCTCAAGAGAATACAAGATTTTTTGCATTTTTTTTTCTTTGGATTGACAGTACAAAGAGTGTACTGTGTAAAAAATGGAATTGTTTTATTCCTTTATTTATTTTTTGGTATATACGGATTATGGAATACCTTTAAAAAATGTTTTAAGTCCATTTGTTGTATTCCATTTTATGTTTTCCCTCCATTTTTTAAATTAAGGTATAAATTTGTTATATAAAACACAAACATGCTTTCAAAACCTGACCTATGTAAAAATATAAATCCATAGAACTATCACCAACTCTCCTGAACTTCCACGCTTTTCGAACAACAACCTTGTGAAGAGTCTGTCTCATTTTCCCCCACTCTCTCCCTATGTTTTTTTTTTTTGGCAAAGCAATGCAGATATGCATGTATTTTTATTCTTTTCCCCTTCTCTTTTCTTAAAAGTCAGCACGCTATGTACTTTGCTCTATTTACTTAGTAATATCAGAATTCACTAAAGATTAGTTTGTAGTTGTCTTGCTCATCGCATCTTATAGCTGCCTGCTCTTCCTGTGTGTGCATGTCCATAGCTTCATTCCTCAATTTTAATAGATTTTTTAAAATATTAGGAGTAGTAGTCCTTTATGCTGGATGTATGTTATAAAATTTTTCCTACCACTTGTTAATTGGTATTTGACCCCACCTAACAATGATTTAGTCATGGAAAAGATTTTATGATAATGTTAAATTAGTTAAGTTTTTTGTTGAATCAGGACGTTTTACTCATATTTAGAAAGCGTTTCCATACACACAGGTTATATAAAAATTTACCTTTTTTGAACCGCTATGTTGTCATATTTTATATTAAATGTCTGATGTATTTGGAGTTTACTTTGGATGTGGTGTGAAGTATGGACTGAATTCTAAATGATTATCCAGTTGTCCCACTACTTTTTGTTCCAGGTGCTGTAACTCAGTTCTTGATTTTTGGGATCTTATGGTTTCTAAATAGAGAGAAAGATATGTTAACGAATAATTTAAATATAGTAACAAAAATGCTTCAGAAGAGGAGGCAATGACCTCTGCTGAGAGTGTGGTGCTCAGGTCCAGCCATACTGATGTGAAGTCATGACTCTGGGTGTTGAAGAACAAGAGGAAGAGGCTTTTTAATTCCAACAAGAGCGTAATAGCATTTCTGAGAGAGGACATATAATGGCCAAAGACATGGAGATACAAACAGCATAGCACAGCATGTTGGGGTGGGGGTGGCAAAGACGCCCTCCTTCTAGGCAGGCTCCTCTGAGCCCTCTTCTGTACTAGACCTCAACTTCGCTTCTGCCTTGCCCTTAGCCTGCTGAGCCCAATTTTAGCAAAGATCCTGCTAAGCTAGTTTATGGGAAGTCCCTCTAGCCTTGTTCTCTAATCACTCTGGTCTTCCTTTGATAAGAAACCCCTTACCTTTGAAATCGAATCAAGTTCCTCTTACTAATTCTCTGTGCACTGACCCCTGACAAAGTTGGGGTCTCCTTGGCCAAGCTCTAATGAGGCTTCTGGGAGCTCTCTTTTCAAGTAGGCCCTGACTTTTGGACTTCCATGTTCATCCCTGGATTCTCAGTTTAGCAAGAATGCCACTAAGTCAGTTTACCCAGACCCTGTTCTCCATATCTGATCAGCTTCAATATCTATTTAGGTTCCTCATCTTCTATTATTCCCCAGTAATGTCTCATTACCCTGACTTGCCTCTTAGCAAGAATCCTATTAGACATGTTAAGCCAGAAGTCCCCGTTATTCCTGGTGCTTCCTCATGATTTTCCATCCACTGACTCCCACGCAGCTCCTTGGCTGTAATTCCCACTTCTTGTTGTATTCAGATCGAATTCTATTCAGTCTCTCTTTCCCCCGCTGCAAGATCCTACTGCAGTGGTGTATAGACCCATCATATGGTCCCCCTTGAATAAAGTCCTCCTTACCATCTCTAACAAGTATCACTGAATAATTTTTTCTTTAACAACTCTTCACTCTGCTTGTTGGCTGCTGTCCCCAGCTGTCCTTGCTGCACCCTGGGTTGAGGTCAGTTTCTCTTCCCTATGATGATACACTCTTCCTTGTTGCAATAGTCTCGTAGTTTTCTTTGCCAGGTTTCACAAGTGTCAGCCTAACTTCTCTTTAACAGGCATAGCATATGTGGAAAACGGACAAGGGGAGGATAGCTGAAGTTGTGCCTACTGAGTTGACTAGAGATAAATCACAGAGACATTATATTCCCTGCAATGGGAGCCAGCAAAGGATTTTTTATTTTTTATTTTTAATTTCAGTATCATCAATCTACAATTACATGAGGAACATTATGTTTACTAGACTTCCCCCATCACCACGTCCTCCCCACACAAACCCCATTACAGTCATTGTCCATCAGCGCAGTTAGATGCTGTAGAATCACTACTTGTCTTCTCTGTGTTGCACAGCCCTCCAGGTGCCTCCCGCCCCACATCCCCACATCATACGTGCTAATCGTTATGCTCCCTTTCTTCCCCCTCACCACCCCCATATCTTTCCCTTCCCAGCCCTCCTCCCCAGTCCCTTTCCCTTTGGTAACTCTTAGTCCATTCTTCGGTTCTGTGTTTCTGCTGCTGTTTTGTTCCTTCACTTTTTTCTTTATTCTTACACGCCACATATGAGTGAAATCATTTGGTACTTTTCTTTCTCTGCCTGGCTTATTTCACTGAGCATATACCCTCTAGCTCAATCCATGTTGTTGCAAATGGCAGGATTTGTTTTCTTCTTATGACTGAATAAAATTCCATTGTGTGTATGTGCCACATCTTCTTTATCCATTCATCTACTGATGGACACTTAGGTTGCTTCCATATCTTGGCTAATGTAAATAGTGTTGTGATAAACATAACGGTACATACGTCTATTTCAAACTGGGCTGCTGCATTCTTAGGGTAAATTCCTGGAAGTGGAGTTCCTGGG